CTTTATGTGTCCTCTACCCCAAGTGTTGTTGTGTTATCCATGCCTTCTATCTGTTTAACTTGCAAATATTATGATTTTCTTCTTTTTTGTTATATTTGCATCTAAGCCTTCTACCATGCTAATTAGTGAAATTTATATTTTTTCTTCCTAATTGCTGTCATAATTTCTATGCCCCTTTTCCCAGCATGTTTTCGTGGTCCATATGTACTGCTTTGTTCGGTGTTGCTTTCTGTGTGCCTCCCACTTTATTTCTTTTATTGTTATTGGCATTTCTCCCACCTAGTCAGTACTGTCATATGTATGCTCGATGAGAAAGAGATAAATGCACGAAGGGTGTTGTCGTGCCAATTGATTTGATTTACATATATATATAGAGGGTGATAATGAGACAAGTGCACGAAGGTATTACCGTGCCATTCGATGTAATATCTTGAATATATTTCTCACACCAGGAAAATTATGAATTTGCTATTGTGATTTCTCCTAGTAATCATTTTTTCCACCTCGCATAGTTGTTTCATTGTACCCTTATCTATTATATTCTATAATTATTTTTATTGTTAGTATATTGTACAGGTTATAACAGTGAGTATCATTTTACTAAAAATCCTCGTCATTACTTCGACGAGGTTAGACAAATACTTACTAAGTACATGAGGTCGGTTGTACTCATACTATACTTCTGCACCTTGTGTGCAGATTTTGGATGTTGATGTTGCGGTGTATGGTGGGAGCTGGCATCGAAGATATTTTCGCAATTCGGTCATAGCTGCCTCTCGTTCTTGGTAGCCTTAGAACTATTAATCTGTTCATGTATATTTCAAATAGATGTTGTATTTTATTTCATATCAGTTTTGCAAATTCTAAATCTTAGAAACTCATGATTTGTATTACCAGTCCTTGGGAAAAGTAGAAAGGTTCAGTTATTTTATCATTTATTTTCCTCGATAAACCTAATTAAATTGGATTTTAGTTAATTGGCTTACCTAACAGGTAGGGTTAGGTGTCATCACGACTGGTCGAATTTTTGGTCGTGACATTGATAAATAATAATATAGTGAGATCGGGTTGCGCGTCGCAACAGGTGGAATAAGGGAGAATTATGATACTGATAAATGATGATATGGTGGGATCGGGTTGCGTGCCACAATGGATGGAATAAGAGAGGATTATGATATTGATAAATGATGATATGGTTGAATCGGGTTGCGTGCCGCAACGGGTGGAATAAGGGAGGATTATGATATTGATAAATGATGATATGGTGGGATCGGATTACGTGCCGCAACGACTTGTATACGTGATACTTGATATTAATTAATGATACTATGGTGGAATAAGGGAGGATTATAATATTGATAAATGATGACACGGTAGGATCGGGTTGCGCACTGCAACGAATTATGTGTGTTGTACTTGTTATTGTTGATGTGTCTTGTGTGAGTCATGCATCCTACGTGAACTGTTGTATTACTTCAATGTATTAATCTGTGCTCCCGCGGTTTCTTGGTGAATTGATTTTCAAGATGAATTTACTACGCGAAGTCATTATCTCATACCTTGTTGAGTTGTTAGTAATATAATGGTTTTAAGTAAAAGAATTATAAATATACTTACCTTACGTGACTCTTAAGTTGAAACTCGTCGTTTCATTCGGTGTTTTACTATTCTTAACCGTTGTCATATTTCACTTTAACTAATTTTCTCACATTAGACTCCTTATCCTATCTAATATTTTTATTTTACTTAACAATCGTTATTACGTTTTATTTTAACAAAATTCTATATTTAAATCAGTAACCTATCTAATGCTTTGTTTTACTTGAAAATGTTATCTTCGTTACTCAAATTACTTCTAAAATAAACTCAATTTTCTTATTTGATTCCTTACTTTATGCAAAATTATTATTATGCCTTGTTGTATACATATAAATCTCTCAGACATTTCATTTAGCATTTGACACGGATAAAATGTACATAGTAGCACAAGGATTTTGCCGTGCAGAAGTGATCTGAAAAATGTGGGCACGAGATGCCATATATGTAAGATTTGAAAGTTGTGACTTATGATATGAGATGAAGAGGAGTAGTACTTCGGGTAATTCTTATTGTAACTCATGCATTAGGAACGATTTGATTAATTGAGTTGTCATCGACTTTTCTTACTTGGACTCATTTATATTCATCCGTATTCTAACTATGTCATTGCTTTATTACTTGGTTATTTTCTATTGCCATTCGTGGTTTTATTATTTCCACTGTTGGTTATAAATTTGTGGTCCTTCTATTGTTGGTCTTACATTGATGTTCTCTCTATTGTTAGCTTTACGTTATATCCTACACAGGTTTACATGTCTAGTAGGTATTTTGACCTGACATCATCACTATTCCACCGAGGTTAGGCTTGATACTTACTGGGTACTGTTGTGCTGTAGTAATACTACGCTTTTGCATATTTTTGTGCAGATCCAGGTACTTCTGAATGAGTCGGTCTTTGAGACTTATGTCTGCGCAGCTGGAGACTTCAAAGTATACCTGTCGTCACATTCGCAGGCCTCAGAGTCACCTTCTGAAGTCATTTGTACAGTTTATTTCTATTTCGGAACAGTTGTAATTAGAAATTTCCTAGTGAACTCAATAAAACTTATGACTTGTACTATCGATTTTGGGATATTGTATCATGTTGAGATTGTTGACTTATTATAGAAATTTTTGTTTCATGCTTAATAGTTATTTGGTTAAAAATCTATTATTTAATCAGCAAGTGTTGGGCTTACCTAGTCTTAGAGACTATGTGCCATCACGATATCCTACGGAGGAAAATTGAGATCATGAATAATATATATATNAATGCACTCCATAACTTTTAAGTCTTCAAGGTATAATAATTAGTAAGTGACAAAGGAATATAACAAATTTCTTTGGATTGTGGGAACGAAAACAAATTTAATTTTGTTTGTGCTTAAAATTTTCATTTTATTGTAAGATATTTGAAATAAATCAGATATACTTTTATTTTATTACCATTTCTTTGATCACAAAGCTTGTATATACACTGTCCACAAAAGATAGACTAAAAACTAAATATGGTTGCTCATGGATTGGTTTAATTCAATTTTTTATAAAAAGGAAACCAAAATGATTATATTTTGTTTTTCGATTATTATTTTCTTTTTTCTTATTTGCACATAAAATATCAATTTAGTTGGTTCCATATATTAGAGTTATGGATAAATTTTTCCATGAAGCAATAAATGTGTAAATAGCAATTGCATAAAAGAACGAATTTATAATCTATAGAGATATCTTTATGGTAGAAATATTTTTCGTGTACGTGATGATTATTCCATTTTATCAATCTAATAAAAAACTTACATAATATATTCCTTCTGATTCAACCAAATTTTAATAACCTGAATAGAAAAAGCCTTTTAATAATTCCATTTGCAAATCATGCGTTCTCTCTTTTTCCTTTTTTTTTCCCCCTTTTTTTTCCCCTTCAAATCATGTGGTCTAATAATTGAGTATTGGCGTTACCTTGGGCGTGGTTACATCTCATTTGAAATTGTAAAGGGACCTCTGGTAAGTGGGCCAACAATATAATTTAATTGGGCCACTTCAATTTAAACCAAACACTGTTTTATCTTGATTATGGGCCACACTTCGATGAATAGGTCCAAATAGCAATATTCAAACGGAGTTAACATAATACGTTGTCGTATAATCTCTGCCGTCAAGTCGCCAAATGGCAATACAGCGACGCCAAATCAGATTCTGTTACCACACACTATTCCAACCGAAGATACTAGTGGGTCCCACTCTTTACTCACCTGCACGTTCTCTTCGCCCACTAGCTTACCAACAAACAGCCTCTTCATCAAAGCCATCTGGTACCCAATTACATTGCGCCACGTCATGTTACTGTGACTGTCTGCCACAGCCTTACACGGGGGTGTGCAAAGAGAAACTTATTTCACCAAAAAATAAATGGAAGATATTTTATTTACATAATTTTTTTGACTAAACTTGAATTTTTTATTTGGCATGTTTAACAATTCCATGAGAGAGACCAACTGATAAAGAAAACAACAATAACTCAAAGCCAGTGGAGTCTGTGGAAGGTAATGTGTGCGCTGACCTTATTCCTACCTTGTGAAGATAGAGAGGTTGTTTCTGATAGAATCTCGATTCAAGAAATAGTAAAACTAAAGTAACAAACAATAGCAAAAATAATGTAATAGGAGCAAATAACACAACATGTAATAATAAAAAACCAGAAATAAGAAAAATATAAAAATAGTACTAGTACTATCGGTACCATCAAGGGTCAACTGTTTTAAATGTCAACCTTTTATCCTAATTTTCGACCTTTACTCTTTCCTAACAATGGTCGGATAAATTCCCTTTATGAATTATTTCAAATTATATCTTTCACAACAATAATAACAACGCATGAATTCTAGATAAGTTGGGATCATCTATATGATTTGTTTCGGTTAATTCACCATTTTTTATTCGTTTTTAGGCTAATAGCATACAAAAATTGAAATATAAATGAAAAGGAAATCGAATGTTTTCTTTTATGTGGCATTATCAATGTTTGGAGCGTCAAAGAGATTTTACTAATATCATTTATCAAGTGTTTTAGATTATTAATTTTTATGATTTTAGTGCTTATATGTTAGTTTTTAATTCAATTTTCTTTATAAAATATCTTCGCATCACACGAATTAAATAATTTAACGTTTATACTCTTCGAAAAAGTAATAGAAGCAAAGATTCAATTTTCTTTATAAAATATCTTCGCATCACACGAATTAAATAATTTAACGTTTATACTCTTCGAAAAAGTAATAGAAGCAAAGATTTAGAAATTCGTACAGAAAAGAAGATTGGTTGGGTTAACGGCCATTAAACTTTTTTATCTCTTCTTTTTGTGTCAGTTGCTGCTCGGCTGCTTATGCCCTTTTGAGCTAGTAGTAATAGTAGTCACTATCATTCTGTAACAGCGCAGTCATCTTAACAAAATACGGAATATTAAAATCTCTCTCCTCTTCACCCACTCTGCGTATCTTAGCTCAACATCCACCATTTCCTCTACCCTGCGCATTTCACGTTTACCACATCGTTGACGACCGAGCCAACTCGCCGGCGTTTCCTCAACGCCTGTCTATCCTTTCAACATCCGCCAGAACATTCTCGAAACTCGCATTTCCTAAATAATAACATCACACACAGAGAAAACACGTCTACATTCTAGAAGCTTCGTTTTGCGTCAAAACAATGGGACTTGATTACTATAACGTACTAAAAGTATCTCGGAATGCAAGTGAAGAAGATTTAAAGAGATCGTACAAGCGATTAGCTATGAAATGGCATCCAGATAAGAACAGTCAGAACAAAAAAGAAGCAGAAGCAAAATTCAAGCAGATTTCTGAAGCGTATGATGTGCTTAGTGATCCTCAGAAGCGTCAGATCTATGACGTGTACGGTGATGATGCATTGAAATCCGGTCAATTTGCCTCGGCGTCGCCGACTAGTGCTGGTAGTAACGCCAGAGGGTTTAGGTTCAATACGCGTGATGCGGAGGCTATTTTTGCTGAGTTTTTCGGTGGATCGGGTAGTAATTCCGGTGCCGGAGTCGGTCGGAAGGCGGCGCCGGTGGAGAATAAACTGCCGTGTAGCTTGGAGGAGCTTTACAAAGGTTCTAGAAGAAAAATGAAGATCTCACGGATTCTTCTGGATGACTCTGGGTAGGTATTCGTTAAATTAAACGTATAATTACAAGTATTTTGCGTTTTACGTCATCGTCAATTGCGTAATTTGCACAATTTTGTTTTATCAAATTTGCTAATCTCTCCATTTCAAGAAACGTTGTTTGAATGGACACGGAATTTAGAATAAAAAAAAGAATGATTTGACATTTGTGATTTAAAACAAGCTATCCAGAATTTGAAATTTATGGTTTCTACCATAATTTCAAATTAATATACAATAATAACTGGGTTCACAGTTAGATTTTTATAAATATTTAGTAAATTTCTTAATATAAATACATGATTACACAATAGTTACTGGGTTTCCGGGAACCCATATTAAATGTTCTAGGTCCGCCCCTGGCTATACATATTTGTACAGCTATAGATCTATCTCATTAAAGATAAAATGAAACTTTTAAAGTTTTATTGTTTCTAAATATAAAAATATACCGTTTTTAAATATTACAGTATTTTTTTTAGGATATACTAAAATACAACAAGTATCACATAAATCAGGAGCAAAGTACTATTTTTAACTTTCTTGATGGTCTGGGAGAATGAGAATAATTTTTTAGTGTAGTCCCGCTTTGTTTATTTTTAGTCAATTTTCATTTCTTAGAAGCAAAAAGTTACTTCCTTTCTTCTGACGTGCTGACCGAGGTTGTTGAAGTTTGCATTTGCGCTTTGATATGCTTTTTGAATCAAAATTGTGCTGTTGCTGGGACAAATCTTCGTTGGTAAAAGCTTTATATCTCTGACATCCCAATGTGTATTAGCCAGTATCTTTTTTGACATAGCTATTAAGAATATGCTTTGAACTGGCACCAAGGTTAGAACACCTTGGTGTTGCACTAAACTATTAGATAGAAGTTGAGGATGAAGTACGAACATTATCCTATTTTAGTGTCAAGTTTTTGTTTTCAAAGATCAAACTGACTTGGGTAAAGTTACTAACTTCATATTTTTAGATTTTAGTGGTTGAGAAACTATTTTCACTAATAGTTGAGGCTGGCTACATGATCAATACCCATTTCATTCGATTGCACCTGTTTCATTCCGATCCATTACTCAATAATTGGGTTTGCTGATACTTGAGGTTCTCTGCAGTTTCTACTAAAGTACAAATATATAAACAAGCTCATTACAAATTAACTAGTTTTATACTAGCCGTCAACCTACTACAAAATTGTTCCTGTGTTCATCACTTACAGAAATATCTGTAATAATGCCTTAAATGCATTTTGACCAAATGTTTTTTAGCTAATTGAGTGTACTGGATATTTATTGACCTTGTTAACATCCTCCCTTGGTAAAATAACAGAATCACATTTGTTTGTTACTGAATAGTCTAGAAGGTTGAAAAAGACGTGATTGTTCACGGCTATTCTTTCTATTAGGAATCAGAAGCTCCTAAACCCTGCCCAATTTGCAGATTTATATCAAAGTAACTGCTGCTTAATGTTTAGTTATGGTCACCTGGGAGGTAGACTGATCTCCTGAATGTTGCAATTCCCTTATGCAAAAAATTAATTGTCCCATTATAGTTGAGGGAATGAGTTGTTCTCTCCTTATATAGTCTTGGGCTAATTTCACCTCATAAACTAACTTCTAGGGTTGAGTTAAGCCAATGTTCCATTATCTTACATTGTGTCAAAGTCAAACCTATCATTATTTTTGCAATGTTGGGTCACAATGTTGTATTGCCTATGCTCCAAATGTCCAGTTCTTAATGCACAGGCGTATTGATTGCCCCACATGGTTGAGACTTGAGATTAATCGGTTGTTGTCTTCCTGTATGGTCTTCGACAATTCTCATCTTATGAATTAACTTTTAGTTTTAAGCCCCATGTCCATTTTCTTTACAGAAAGCTTATGATCATCTAGGGATGTGGATTGATCACACTCATTGTTTCGATTCTCTGGCGCAATGATAAAACTTCTTATAGAAACTACAGTCAATGGGAGGCAAAAAATTTAGCTACTGAAAGCAATAGTTCTTTTTCTGGAGGGGCAGGGTGAAGGTGTGGGTAGCAAAGCAATGACAAATTTGACAACAAAGTTCAGTGAATATGTGGATTACAAGCCATGAATTTATCAAACTAAGAAGTTTCACTCAATTATTTCGCACTCAGTTGCTCTAACCCCGGGTCCTATATGTTCCATGTGCGAATTTCTTTTGCAGTAAGCCTACAACTGTTGAAGAGGTCTTAGCGATACACATCAAGCCTGGTTGGAAGAAAGGCACAAAAATCACTTTCCCAGAGAAAGGAAACTATGAGCCTGGAGCTACTCCTGGTGATCTTATTTTTGTGATAGATGAAAAGCCGCATGCTGTCTTCAAGAGGGATGGAAATGATCTGGAGATCAATCAGAAAATTTCTTTACTAGATGCTCTTACTGGGAAAACTATAAGCTTGATCACTTTGGATGGACGGGAACTCACAATACCAATCACAGATATTGTTAAACCAGGACATGAGCATATAATCCCAAATGAAGGAATGCCAATATCAAAGGAACGTGGCAAGAAAGGAAATTTGAAGATCAAGTTTGACATTAAATTCCCATCAAGGCTAAGTGCAGATCAGAAATCTGATATCAGGAGGGTACTGTGCAGGAGCGCTGACTAATCGTGGGTTTTAGTTAAGGTGTCACTAACACTATCATGCATGTGCAGCGAAATGTAAATAATTAACAAGTTTTCTGTAGAAAGGAAATTGTGCATAGTAGGATGTAGTTTAAGGATGCCTCAATATTTACAACATGTGAGCTAATGTAGTTTCTACTTAGCTGCCTGCCTCTTTTTTTTCTTTTTTTTTTTAAAAAAAATAATAATAATAATAATGTTGGATGTAAAAGGGGAGTAAGTAGTAAGTAGTTTAATAATTGTGTTTGATTTGGAGGTGGATGCTACATATCAAGTGTTGTGGTTGAGATTAGTGGCACTGTGTTATAGTTGTGTATTCCGTCTGTGCAGGGCAGACCTTTGATGAATTTAGTGTGTTGGTTGTTTTTGCATTTCTTAAGGGCGAATTTTCTACTTCCCTTTTATCTTTTGAGTGAATTTGCTTTGGATCCAGATCTACGTTTTCCTTTTGCTCCTCATCAGCAAGCTCAATCAGGATGACATGATTTCTCCCAATTCGGTTGTTCTTGTTAATCAAAGTCTGGTAAATTATGGAAGTTTATAGTTTCATCATTCATGTGCTGCATTATGAGAGAAAGATGCCCGAATCTTGAACTCTGTTGAATCGGCGTTCCTCCCTCTCTCTCTCTCTCTCTCTCTCTCTCTCTCTCTCTCTCTCTCTCTCTCTCTCTCTCTCTCTCTCTCTCTCTCTCTCTCTCATATGTGTGTGTCTAGTTTTCCACGTCTTTTGTTTAAATGAAAAATTCCTTAAGCTGCAGTTTGATTCGATTTGACGTCTTGGTGACTTCTTGTCTCTAGCTTCTTTTTGGCCAAAATTGCTTCTTTTTCTTTTAGTTGTCAAAAATACTTTCTTTTTTTCTTTCAAAATTATTTGGTCAAGTTCTTTTTGGAGAAGCAAAAAAAAAAAAAAAAAAAAATTGTTTTAAGTATATTTTTTGAAAAATACTTTTAAAAAAAATACATTTATAAATACATTTTAAAAACGTGACCAAATATTATTTAGATTTTAGAAGCTTGCAAACAATAACCTTAAAATAAGCGTAATAGTCAAACCGCAAAGGTGCCCTGACTGCATGTATTTTACTCATATTCTTTAACTCATTATATAGATTCGCCTCGATAAAGACGCTGCACGGCAATATCAAAGCTACTTTTGTAGAGTATTTTATAGGAGTATTTTAGTAAATTCTTAAAGGGAGTTCAGGGGCGTGGGGATACGCATACTCTGTTGAATATGGGAACGACATTCCATGAACAAAAATAAAAACCAGAAACACATTTATTTATTCAAACCAATATACCAACATGCTTTAATCAGCTTTCTTACAATCAGAAGTGAGCAAAAATTTGAGGATACATAGCTACTTTTTCAATTAAAAATTGATAAGATATGAATTTTATTCTACACAGACTATGATTCCAGTAAACTCTGCTCAAAACACATGTTTGCTTAGATAAGGATAGCTCTGTGTTTCTCAATTTTCTTCTTTAGTCCATCCTTATCTGCTCCCACAACTTTGTCAATCACCTTCCCTTTTTTAATCAGCACAAATGTTGGCATTGCTTGAACCCCATATTCCTCAGCTACTTTCTGCTTACAATTCATCCAAGATTTTAGAAATTAGTATCCATTTAGATATCAAAAGAGTTGAAAAAAAAAAGGATTGTAAAGGTAAGAACATAAGATCTTACAGCCAATTCATCAACATCAATCTTGACAAATTCAACATCTGTATATTTAGCAGCAAAGTCATTAATAACTGGTTCTATGTATTTGCAAGGACCACACCATGCTGCTGTAAAGTCAATAACAACCTAGCAATAGAGCAAAACATCCTAATGATTAGTATCACCAAATACAAAACGAGTTTAACTTTTATACACTATCATTGCAAGTAGGGGTGTACAAAGAAAACTTATAAACCGCACCAAATCGATAATCCGAATTAAACCGTAAAAAAAAAACGCAATTGTGATTTGGTATTGGGAAAATAAATCTGACCATAATTGATTTGATTTGGTTTTAACTAAAAAAAGTTAAACAGAATCCAAACTAATCTGATAGTACATTTATACAATTTTTAAAAATATTTTATACATATAAATATTTATTGTAATGTAATTTATAAATATTTCTTAAATGTTTTCACAATTTTATCCTTTAACGTATTATTTCAAATTTGGACTTAACATTCTTGAATGGTAAATAAATTTTATAGCCAATAAATATAGTAACTCAAACAAAGTTCAAATCAATACTAATACTAACAAAAGAAATTCATTTCAACACTAAGAATGATGATAGTGTTGGATATCTATTTTTTTAGTTTTACATTGGTTTATAATGAAAATGCATAACTTAGTTTATCTTTTTCTTTAGTATTTAGTTATGTAATTAATAGTACTTATTAGCTATACTTATTTTAGCATGACCTATATAGTATTTTTAGATTATGTTAATTTTCATTATGGCTTATTAATTAGCAATATTTGCTTTATACAATTTTATTATCTCCGTTATTGAATATTTTTGTATAATACTATGACTTACCTCATATTATTGTATTATTTTCTTGGAAAATACATTATATAGTTGTATATGGCTAAAGAAATATTTGGAGTACAAGTTACATATTTTGTGCTATGAAGACTTTACCGGGAAAAAACCTGAAAATCCAAAAAAACCGAAAAATCAAAATTGAAAAACTCGACTTTGTTGGTTTGGTTTTGTGTATAAATTTAAAAATCCGACACCATTGATTTGGTTTGATAATTGAGAAATGCGAACCAACCCGACCTATATACACCCTTAAGTGGAAGCAGATTTTTTATACTATCGAATCATGACCTCGAAGATAATTAGAGATAACTGCTAACAAAAAGTGAGTTTAGTAACATGAAAAACAAGACATACTTATGTTTAGGCTAACTCCATACATGTGCAATATTTCAAAAACGGTTACCAGTTTGTTTGTATCTTTCAAAGAATCAAAATGGAGCTTCCATTTTGTTGAAGAATGGAAAGCAATGACTTGAGACCTCTTGACTTGTGGTACTGTGGTTGTCATATTATTAGCTTCATGCAAAGTAGATGAATAGTTAGCACCCATTTTCTTCTAGTTTTCTTGATTTAAGAATTTTTCTCTTCAAATGGTTTCTAAAATTTTCTTTGGTTTGACGTTGGAGCTTAGAGTTTTGGAGGGACCCTTTTTATATTGGTGCTGATGTACAGACTTTTCTCGTTTAAAATGTAAAAACAACTTAAACTAGTACAGAATATGTTCTTCATTATGTCGACTATTCCATTATACAAAGAAAGATTTGATGCTAGATATCTTTTGTTTCTGTATGTTCTTTTTCCAATATTTCTGAAAAAGGATCGTGCCCACTTTATTCTCATACGCTGCATTTCCACCTTGCAACAAAGTCGTTTAATATGTTACTTTATTATTCTTTGGAAGCTTCTAAAACGTCAATATTTGAAGTTTCTTTGATACAAGTAACTCCATTAACAAGAGTAACGACTTCAGCACGTTGCTGTTATTGATGGAAACAATGTTCTGATGAAGTATTTAGCGTTGGTATATTTTGATAAGTTTACACATAGTTCATCTAGACAGTGGCGTAGCCAGATTCCGCCAAGAGTGTTCAAACTTTAAACAAGTCAATAAATATTTTTACCGTTGAATGGTGCCCGCAAATTTTTTAAATCAAACTACGCAAAATTTAGTTAAACAATAAAAAACTTTTAATTGAACTATAATTTTATAAATCAAAATTACAATAACAAAAAGACAACATTAAAAATTTTACTAATAAACGTAAGCACGAAACCAAAGGAAAAAGAGAATCGGGAGGATTTGTAGTTTGTAGAGAACTTTTGTTGATTTTTTGTTGTTGTAGAGCTTGACTTATAAATTATAAAATTTATAATAACTTTTAGTTAAAAAATTACTTTTAAGATTAGTTGTTTATTTTTACGCAAATTTTAATTTTTAAGAGTTATTTTATTAGAAACTTTTTTAGATTGAAAAAGAATCAAATAGACTACACATGGTGGCCTTCGTTTAGTTTTGGCAAACAAAATGGGCATAGCTTTGAACCGCGTGAACAACACATCACTTTGAACACCCGGAGCTGCTAGACTGCCTTACTCAATTGTGTTAAGGGAGTTAAAAATATAATATATAACCATAAAAAGTAATAGTTAACTTATATACGTAATATAACTTTTCAGCTAAGGGCGTGCACTTGACCACCCTTGGCATAGGGTGGCTACGCCACTGCATCTAGATAGGTATCTGCATTTGAAATTGTAGCAAATTATATTTTGAGAGTGGAGTCATTCCCGTTTGAATAGAAAAGGTACGAAGTAGCTCGGTGTCGACTTTGCTTGTTGGCGGAGAATGAAAAGATTTGGCCTTTCTCCCCCTTTAATTATGGTTCGCCAGCCCAGTCTAGCACCAAAGCACCCATGTTTAATACCCAGGAGTAGAAGAGAGAACTCCTCTTTCTCATAAGTAGTGCCTCTCCTTCTCTACTATCGTAGTTGTCGGAAAAAGCGAATTTGACTTCTTTTTCCCGAGAGACTTTATTTTCTTTTTTGTATTTCCTCAGTGCGGATTCTTGTCTGCGGTGGGAGATGCATTCCGGTGCAATGTCACCTGTTTAGACCCCAGGCACCAACCTTCCAAAAACGCTTTGTCTCCATTATCTATAGGACTCTCCTATGTATAACAAAATCCCCCATCTACTGCTATTGTACTTATTTATATAATTCTGTTGTACTCAATAATAAACAAGATTTTCACAATACAATCTCTTCTCTTATATGGTGGTATCAAGAACCTTTGAAAGAATCATACGAGTTGCTCCCTTTTTTTCAGAGCGGGTGAATCTCAAAATCAATCTTCAGCCACCTCTTCTACTTCCCCCACTGTCACAATCAGCCATGAGAATATTGCTCAACTAATTTCATTCAATCCAGCCTCCCAGCTCCCGTTGAAACTACAAGGGAGTTTCAACTACTCTACTTGAATATCACAAGTCATAACTCTTCTCTTTGGTTATGATCTTCTTGGGTATGTTGATGGATCATTTTCTCCTCCACCTGTGCATATCCAAGATGGAGCAAACATATAATATCCCAACCCTACATTCAAGATTTGGCAGAGACAAAATAGTCTTGTTCGCAATGCTATCATGGCCTCAGTTGGCCCTACAATCACTTCTCTTATTGCATAAGCTGCCACTGCCAAACATGCTTGGGAAATCCTTCAAACTACTTATGCTAATAAATCAAAGTCACGTATCTTCAGACTGCATGAGACTCTTGCTAATCTCAAATGAGACTCATGCTCCATCAGTGAGTACA